GGGGGGGGGGGGGGGGGATGTTTATTTTGCTGTTTTTGTGGGGTTTTTTTTCATTGCTTCACTTTGGGGAATTTTGGGAAGTATAAGTAGGTCAGTAGATGCTGCAGCATTCCTTCTTGACCAGAAAGGATGGGCACCTGCTAATTCTCTTAAGTTATCCCATGTTGTTTTCCCAAAAGACCCTATGCAAACGTAAACCTTGCATCCCCAGATTTCCTGGCTTGAACAAAGCCTCCTACAAAGCACTTTCACATCGTGCTCTCTGTATCCATGAGATGCCTTGGCAGGAGGGAGCATTTTTGTTCCAAGTGGGTTAGCAGCGGGCACAGACCATCATTCAATGATATGAAATCTTCAGTGGCAGCTCTGCTGTAAGTAGTTCCTGCCATCACTGGCCAGTATCTGCTTAGTTGTGCTACCATGACTGTTTTGTGGAGCTGTGCTGTGGACTGGACAGGAGAGCTGATCTAGCATTAGACTGTATTATATGTAGTTGTTACACAGCTTTGAAAAAAAGTATTCAGAAGATTCCCTTCATCTCTGCTGTGTTTCACAGCATGGCCATGCAAACACATGATAATTTGCAATGTTGGACTGAGAAGCTGGAAGGCAACCCCCACACCCCACCCCATATTAAAAAAAAAGAAAAAAAAAAGGAAAAAAAAAAGAGGATTCAAGACCTGCTTAAAGTAATTTTGTTGCCAAGTTCTTTGTGTTATCTTGCCCTGCCTGTGTCTGTAGCTCTCTTCCCTTCCTGCCGGTCCCATCCTGGGTGGCCCTATTAGTCAGAGAAGAAGAGGCTTTTGCAAACAGAGTTAGGGTGTTGAGTTTGTACTTTCAATAGCAGCCATGCTCCTGTGTAGCTGTTCTTTCATTTCAAATAGTATGAGGTGGTTTTAAACTAAATACAACCCTTTTACATAGATCTGGCTAGTGTCCTTATTCTCTCTGGGTGCTCTAAATATCTTGTTCATATGCACTTCGTGAGGAAGCTTTTTTCGTGTTTGTTGGTTTTCTTTCTCAGCTGATGACCTCCACTGCACGCTAGCACTCTACTGAACCATTAACCATGCACAGATTCACTTCCTTTTCCCTCTTACCTCAGTTGAAAAGACTTTGCTCTTGAATCTTGTAAATGGGGTGATAATTTCAAAGCAAACAGCTTCCAGTCCTTTCTTGCCAACTTCTGCCCACAAGGTATGCAAAGTAAACAGAACAGTTTGGAAATTAGTTATGTACTTTCCCTCCTAGTGCAAGGCATCCCAGGATGGTTCCTAGCCCTTTAAGTAAAGAATAAAGGGAAAGATGGAGAACTGGCATGCCCGAATTGCATTTTAATGTATGGAGCCATTGCACAGATCATTCGTATTTTACAAGCTTTAGGAAAACCTTGTAAAATGATAGGCTTTAAAAAAATCTCTACTATTCATATATTGAACATAAAAGTGGTTTATTGCTTGCAGCAGTGGAAGAAAAGCAAAATACATAGAATGGGCAAAAAAAAATACAGAGAATTTTCTTCACATATAGAAAAACAACTTTGAACCAGACTTTACCTAAATACAAGGAAGATTCTTGCCTCTGGTAGGCTTTTGGAGGGAGCTTAGAAAGATTTTCCGGTGCTACCATGATGTTTATAGGTTTGATTTGGAAACTGTCAGTCTGGATGCTGTAATGGTGGGTATGCAGCAGTTACAGGGTACAATACCTTGAACAGGATGTGAAGATGCCATTTTGCTGTATTTATTAAAAGGAGACAAGTCTAGGCAACTATTAAAAAATATGTCTTTGAAAGTTGACAAATAAATGGTTAATGCTTAATATATTTAGCTCCATCCTAGGCATTGAATGTCTGTATTGAACATCCTAGGTATTGAGCTATCCTGTAGCTCAATTTTACTGATTGAGCTATAGGAAAATTTGTTAAATGTGAAAACTAGACTTAAGGTTATCAGCTGTGAGGCTTAGCTACAAGATGATGGTGAGGCTGTGAAGGGCAGAAAACATTATGTGATCTCTTCCAAATGAGATAGGGCAGGTCCCAAGAGTACAAGGCCTGCAGGAATTCAAATCAACAGTCAAGTTATAATCTGAGGCCATGAGCACAAACACAACTTAAATTTCATGCTCATGCATGTGGCAGCACAAGTAGGAAGCTGGAGCCCTCCTGATCCCAAAAGAAGATCCTTTATTATCAATTTTACTCCCTTGACATGACTCAAAGGGCAGTATCATAATAATCCATAGTGGTACTCCTTCACACATTTCTATGCACTTGATAAAGGTAGCTCTATGCATGGAGTATGCTCTACTTCTTTTCAGAAAAGATCTCTGTTTAAAAAAAAATACAAAATTGAATGTATTATATACAATATGTATAATAAATTTTATAGTTTCTATCAAAGGTTTTTAAAGGAAAGTATGCTCTATCTTATGGAAACTTTCCCTTCATGTTTCCCAACTGAAGGTTATGAATTCACTGAAGATGGGGTTTTTTTAAATAGAAATCCTTGAGTTCCATAAACATTAACTCAAAACACCTGAAAGAATGTAACATATCTGTCTTCTGGAGTATTTCATTTGTACTTGTGCCAAAAGCAAAGCAGCAAACTTGGCTGCAAGGGCCTGGTTTGGCTGTACTTTTGGTGCCTAGAATATGTAAGATTTTATTTTTTTAGTATAGATTTAATGCTAAGCTCTTATATTTACTGCAGGGAGAGGAAATATTGCAATTTGAGTAAAATTTTTAAAGCCATTTATATATATATTAGCCACAAGGTAAAGATGATGTGTTCCTGGCATAATTTCTTTTTAAATAGCCATGCTTTAATGCAGCATGAACTCAAACATCCCAAACCACACTTTTTTTTTTTTTTTTTTCTCTGTAGTTCAAATGAACCTTACCTTGGTTGACATATATATTTATTTTCCTGAGTGAAATTATGAATATCCTCTTTAAAACCAAAAAGAGAGAAGGTGTTGAATTAGCTTCTGCTTAGTGTATCCTCTTTAAAGCAAACATTGCTTTATTAGATTTGTTTCAGCATCTGCTTTTTACCTGTGAATCCTTAATGAGGTTAAAACTGTCCAGGTAATACAATTACAAATGTGATGCAAATTGTACCAAAGCCCAGATTGTCAGCCCAGAAGCTTTGTGTATGAACTGCAAATCATCAGAGTAACCTTCTCTTCTGTACATTCCCATTCCCATTCTCTGCCCATCTCCTGGGAAAGAAAAGGCAGCAGTAGCCAATGGGAGAGGCTGTACCTTCCTGGCCCTACTTGGTGCAAAGATCAACAAACCACACAGGAGTCCACATTTTTTTATTTTTTGTCATTGTATGGCTGTTTGAATGGCATTCCTCTTGCTTTGTGGGCAGACAGAAGGCATTGTCTTATCTTCTTCTCTGTCTCAGTTACAATAACCTTGCTTTTTCCTCAGACTGCATGTAAAGTATACTGGGGACAGTATAGTTTTCATCTTTTCATCTGGAGAAACCTGGCAACAGATTGCTGAGTGATGGGAAGGTTGACTAATGGGAGCAGTCCTTGCAGCAGCTTCGTATTTTTTGGCTGTTTGAAGAGGAGATAAAAAAACTTGGTGTCATCTAAGTTCGGTTTTATCTTTGTGGTGTATGGCTGCACATGTGAAAATTTGAGAATGCTGGAATATTTTTGTTGTTTCTAAGTTTAGCTATAAATTTCTATGGCCTACTTAAATCAGATGAACCTGTGTACTTCAAAATGAATAGCAGA